GAGTCGGAGTCGGAAGATTTAGAAACTGAGGAGTCGGAGTCGGAGCATTTATCTACCGACTCCACAGCCCTGCAGAAATGTGTCCTGTAAAATCCTGTAAAATGTGGTAAACGCCCAGTCATACTTTAAAAAAAATATACCGTCGTATACCGTGAACCCGATATAACTATGAAAAATACCGTAATATAAATTTTTGGTCATACCGCCCAGCTCTAGTCTATTGCATCATAGGAGTATGTAGTTTTTTACTCTAAAGCAAGAGTCATATGAATGGAGCTGTAGCTTTGAGGAAGTGGTATATGAGGGGCTGCTCCTCTGCAGTTCAAAAGAGTGTTGCCTGATGATCTGTGGAGTGTTATTCCCTCCAGCTGTGTTTCCATCGCTATTTCTGCTGCTTTGATGGCACATCGATGAAACACCTGTCTGTAGCAAATCATTTGATGGGTTCCTTTATTGATGTGTATTTCCTCCATTAGGTACCTGGTGGGACATGGTGTCAAGCGTATGCTGAGCCGCACAGAGGAAGCTCTGTGCCTGCCATACCCACAGCAGCGACAGCTTGTGCTGGATCTCTGTCTGGACAAGCTACAGAGTGTCCGCACACATGCAGAGCCCAGCCTGCGTCGATCTGTCCTGCTGGCCAACACGCTCCGGCAGATTCAGGAGGAGATGCAGCGGGAGAATGGAGATTCTCCCAGTCTCACACCTCCCTGTGTGCTTCAAGATGAAGGATCTGTTCCTGAGGACGTAGCAAACCCGCTTTTTGGCTCCTTTGAGATTACAAACTCCACCAGCTATATGACAGACTTGGCATTAGATGACATCTTTGAGGACATTGATACATCCATGTATGACACGGCAGATACCTGTGCCCTGGTCTTCTCCTCAACATGGGGATTGGGATCCCAATCATCAATACTGGATGACGGCCTCAAGGTCTTATCTAGTTGCACCCCGGCCAGTGCCCTCCAGCTCTGCTTTACAGACCTCAGTGACCTGGACCACATCATGGAGATCCTGGTCCAGCCCTGAATTCCATGGATTGCAATGTGGGTGTTATGGTCCTCTTGTTTTTTGCCAGTTTTTATTAAAAACAGAATTGCTGTTTTTAGAACTGAATGATTATATTTTTTCTATGAAATGCTCTAATATATTTATATAAAGGATTATGCCTGACACCTACTGTAGAATGATTGCACGTTTTAGGCCAGAGAATCAGTGTTACTGCTGACTGGCATTCAGGAGGTTTACCTCAGGCTCCTTAAGCTTTCAGCCATTTAAGCAGAGAAGGAGACACCCTATGTAATAGGAGCAGCCATGCTTCTGTATACAGAAACGAGCAGCATATTTTTGTGAACTTTCAGGACATGTCCTCAAAATTTCAGTATGTCTCTAAATGGTTCCATGTGTCCTGTTGGGCTTCAGTTAGTGAGGTGGACTTTGGCACATAGACTCAGTTTACTCTACCTCAGGAGTCTCCTACTCTGGTCCTGGAGAGCTACCGTCCAGTAGGCTTTCTATCATACCTGGCTTCTGACGAGCCACACCAGTTCTCAGGTAAATACCAGGAACAGGTGTGGCTCATCAGAAGCCAAGTGGGACAGGAAACCTACTGGATAGTAGCTCTCCAGGACCGGAGTTGGAGACCCCTGAGGTAGAGTAAACTGAGTCTATGTGCCAAAGTCCACCTCACTAAC